TAGGTATTCTAAAACAATAAATATTTTAAAAATTATTTGCAAAAAGATATTTCACACCTGTTGCTTAAGTAATATCATTGCTCATGGTGTGCTCCGTCTGTTGCTTTAGAGTCCATATTCTCTTCTATTCATTTTTTTCCCTACTTTTCTTTATTTTTAAAGATATATTTAAAAGTAAATTATCAACATACTAATAAAGAAAACTGTTCACCAAAAGTTCATGGGAAATGAAAATGGATACATGCATAGTCTGCAGTTGTTTTGAATTCATATGTGCCTTCTTCCAAATTCATATGTGGGCTCTAAATAAGTGTTTGTTACCTGATTTCCATTGACCTCTCTATAGGCTTTTTCAAAAGTAATGAATTCCTTTGAAGTAAGGTATTGTGTATTAATTTATCTTTTTATTTCCAGTGCTTGGCACATGGTAGACATGTAATAAGTATTTGTTGACTTGAACTTTTCAAAATTGAAGCTGGAGTCAAAAGACCTGATACTATTCTAGCTCTCCCATTCACCAGCTTAGGCAAGTTACTTTGATGCTCTAGGCGTCTGTTTCCACAACTCTCGAGTAAGGTTCTATCTGGTTCTAGAAAATCTGATGCCAAGCAAAGCATATAGTAGTTCTTAATAATTGCTTATTTGTATCGATTACTTAATAAAATTTATCTGCAAAATTCCCAGTTAGTGATGGAGTAAGTCAGTTTGCCAAATATATGTCATCTCATTTGGTGATGCTGTTTCCTTTTTTTTTTTTTTTTTTGTACTGTATAAAGGGAACCTATAATTTCTTTCAGTTCCAAATATATTCTCTTAGTATTTCTTTTAGTGTGACCTTTTTTCCTTATTGAATGAAAAATTAAAGATGGAAGAAATTGCCTATATATTTAATCCACTCCCTTGTTTTTTTTGTTTTTTTTTTTTTAAAGATTTTATTTTTTCCTTTTTCTCCCCAAAGCCCCCCAGTACATAGTTGTATATTCTTTGTTGTGGGTCCTTCTAGTTGTGGCATGTGGGACGCTGCCTCAGCGTGGTCTGACGAGCAGTGCCATCTCCACGCCCAGGATTCGAACCAACGAAACACTGGGCCGCCTGCAGCGGAGCGCGTGAACTTAACCACTCGGCCACGGGGCCAGCCCCCACTCCCTTGTTTTATAGATGAGGAAACTGATGCTCTAGAAGGTTATACAGTTTGTCCAAAGCTATTTAATGGCAGAATTAGAACCCAAGTATCATGGTTTCCATTTGAGTGCATTTTTCACCTCAGATATCTCTAGGCATTATCAGCTGTTCCCTGGGATAAAGATTGGAAAAGAAATTACCAAAATAGCTAAATGTAGGAGGCACAAGGAAAAAAGTTACTTTTTTCTTATTGTCAAACATTTATTCTAGGGGAACCATTTTGCGTCTCATTTTCTGAGAGGTACCATAAGGAAAGTAGGAAAACAAAAAAGTTCTAAGTTAGATGTATATAACCATTCTGTGACTAATTCTTTCTTTTTCCTGAGAAATGAGCATGGAGAGAGGAAAGAAAAGTCATAATGGCTGAATTATACCTTGTGAATCTACCATCATGTTTTTCTTTGCCTTTTTTGTAAACCTGGAGTCCTCACTTATTTAATAACATCTCAAAAGGTAGAAACACACTACTCTTCAGATTAGATGAAGGAATAACCAATATTTGTTCACTGTCAGAATCCTTAACCCCACTTCCAGTTGCTTTCCACCCATTGTTTTCCTGTAACATTGATAGGTATTACAGATTTTTTATAGGAGCACAGAAAGGACATTTCACACAGTTTGGAAGACAGTTTGGGATCAGGCAATGTACCCCAAAAGGAGTTACATGTGAGATTTTAAGGAAAGGATAGAAGCGGATTAGGGACATCCTAGGCAGAGATTATAGCATGAGTCAAAGCATGAAAGGAAGAAACAGCAGAAAGTTGAGTACCAGTATGTTTATGTTTAGAGAGTTTAAAATGTGAAGCAAAGATAATAGGAGGTGAAGCTAGTGGGGACCAGATCCAAAAGTATACCATATTAAAGAGTTTACACTTAATCCCCTAAGCCGTAGGGAGCTTTTAACATATTTTTTTAATGGAAAAGGGATAGAGTCAGATACTGATTTTTAGATAAGTTAATCTAATAGCTTTATAAAGAATGGTTATATTAGTTATCTATGGATGCATAAACAAATTACACAAAAACCTGGTAGCTGAAGTAACACACATTATCATCTTATAGTTTGCCTTGGTTCAGGAATCTGGGCATGGCTAACTGGACTCTCTGGCTCAGGATCTCTCACAATGTGGCAGTCAAAGTGTCAGCCAAGGGTACAGTCATTCCAGGGCTCATCTGGGGGAGAATCCGCTTCCAAGCTCACTAACGTGGTTGTTGACAGTATTGCGTTTCTTTTGGGCTGTTGGACTGAGGGTCTCAGTTCCTTTCCAGAGGCATCCCTCAGTTTCTCACCCTGGGCCTCTCCATGGGACAGCTCACAACATGGTATCTGAGCAAGCAAGTGAGAGAGCAAGGTTCTCGGAGAGTGAACAAGAAGGAAGCCAGAATTAAGTAATCTTAGAAGCGACACCTCGTCACTTTTGCCATACTGTTTATTAGCAGCAAGTCACTAGGTCCAGCATACACTCAAGGGAAGGGGATTACTCAAAAGCGTGAATACTAAGGAGGCACAGGTCATCGGGATCCATCTTTGAAGCTGCCTAGTACAGGACTTGAGGAAATAAAACTAGAGGCAAAGGGGCCACTTAGGAGGCTGTTGTCATAATGCAAGTGCAGATATGGAGATTGTTGTAGACTTGTATTAGAATGAAGGAGAGAGGAGGGAGTCAAGGAATATTTAGGGGTTAAATTATGAGAATTTGGTGATTTAGAGCATGGAGGTTTTAAGGGAGAAAAAGGAATATTAAGGATGACTTCTAATTATCCTTGGCTTTTAAATGACTATCTGACTAAAGAATATTTTCACTTTAATGTGACTTAAACTCTTGTCCACATTGAGCTTTTCATCTTCATTACTGCCATCCCCTCCACTTTTAGTCTTCTTGGCTTTCCTTGTTGCTTCACTATTTCTTCACTATATCCATTTAGACACCAGTTATTTCTTTCAACATCTGTTTAATTTTCCTATTTGTCTCTGTTCTTATTGTTACCTTCCTTATCAGGGTACTTAGCACGGCACACATAAAGTATGGGAACAGTCTCCTAATTTCTTCCCTATGGCCTTCCCCTTTCTTTCATCTAGATTCCCAAACATCTAATATCTCTATATCTATCATGCATTTAACCAACAAGTATTTATTGTGAGCCTGTTTTGTGACCACCATTTTACTAGGCTTCCTTGGGAATATAATAATGAACAAGACAAGCATTGTCTCTGTTCCTTTGGGTCTTTATTAATATCTTCTCTTTCCTTTCCATCTGTCAGAAATACCACTAATCCTTTAAGGTAAACTTCAACTTCTGCTCTTTTTATGAGACCTTCCTTGAAACATATATGTTCTTTTATCTTTATCTCCTACAGCTATAATCAGGAGGGGTTTTACTTAGGAAATTTTGAGATACTACGAGTTTAAAAGAGAGCATTGGCTTAAGCTGTTAAGTTTAATGAAGCTCCCTCAGTCTACTTCAAGCAGTAGAATAATGTCTTACCACCCTGAGTTACTGGAATCACCTGGAAAGCTTTTTAAAAATGTAGATGCCTTGACCTTCCCTCAAGAGTCTGATTCAGTCTGTCAGAAATGAAAACAAACAAGACTCCAAGGTGAATTTGATGTGTAGGAGTTTAGAAAATTACTGCATTAAAGTCACCCTCACCATTACACTATTAATTATTTTGTGTGCATTTAATCATCTAAATAGCCTGAAGCAGTAATTTCCAAATACAGGTTGAGGACTAGCTACATCAATACATACAGACTTTTGAACCCTATCACTAGAGATGCTGACTGACTAGATCTGTGATTATATCCAGGCTTCTATCTATTTTTTATTTTTTTGAGGAAGATTAGCCCTGAGCTAACGTCCACCACCAAACTTACTCTTTTTGCTGAGGAAGATTGGCCCTGAGCTAACATCTGTGCCCATCTCCCTCTATTTTGTATACGGGACGCCTGCCACAGCATGGCTTAATAAGCGATGTGTAGGTCCATGCCTGGGATCCAAACCGGGGATCCCCCGGCTGCTGAAGAGGAGCGTGCAAACTTAACTACTGCACCACTGGGCCAGCCCCTGTATTTTTTAAATAATGAAATAAGACTGGTATATAATCAAGTTGGAGAAATATTGGACAAATGGACTAATAGACCGTATTAATTTTTTTTTTTTTTTAAAGATTTTATTTTTTCCTTTTTCTCCCCAAAGCCCCCTGGTACATAGTTGTATAGTCTTCGTTGTGGGTCCTTCTAGTTGTGGCATGTGGGACGCTGCCTCAGCGTGGTTTGATGAGCAGTGTCATGTCCGCGCCCAGGATTCGAACCAACGAAACACTGGGCCGCCTGCAGCGGAGTGCGCGAACTTAACCACTCGGCCACGGGGCCAGCCCCTAGACCATATTAATTTTTAAAAAAATTTTCCTTAACAGTACTGTTCAGATAAATGCATGTGAATATTTGGTAAGTGTTAAAGACCAGTGAGCCATGACAGGCTTTATAGATTACCTCGGAAGATTCTGGCCATTTGAAGTCATACTTCAAATAACAGTTGAATGACTGCTGTGTTTAGATTTTTAGATGCTCCAACACATTTCAGCAGTATAAGGTTAGTGTTTCATACATTGATACATTTTGTCTGCCCTTTTACTTTTAGTTAGGTGATAACTTACTGATCACATGAAAAATTTGGAACAATGATGATCCTTTTTCCTCCTGTTATTCTGATAAATCTTATTATATTCTGCTATGGGGAGGTATATTACTACTTTCTTACAGGATGGGATTGTCAGAATGTGGCTTTAATAAATTTGTTGTCTTCCTTTTCTTTAGTGTTATTCCTCTTTTAAGAGAGTCTGTTGGAATATTAATGCAGAGAACACCTCCCTTGTTGGAAAATACTCTGCCTCAGTGCTATCAGAGGGTAAGTTTCAAAGCTTCCAAACCATTGGATTTTATGTTGTTTCCAAGCTGTAGGGTTTTTAACTTTGACAGATGTGGGTAGCATGTGTGTATAATTTAGTATTTCTTCCAAGATTGAATGTTGACCAGGAATGCCATTTAAATAAACACAAACCAGAATAAAATCATTGGAAAATATTGAACTTTACTGAAGAAAATATGTTAAAAATTGTTCTCATCTAGAAAGGGAGCAGTTCTGCTACAATATAGGTATGAATAGCAAATAATATAAGCATTTATTCAACATATATTTTTTGAGCTCCTACTTTGTGCCAGATATTCTTCTAAGGTGCTAGGGATGAGATGACAAACAAGATAGTGTCTTTGTTCTTAAAGAGCTTACGGTCTGGTGGGGCAACACAGGAACTAAACAGTAAATAAGAAAGTATCAGGGATAATTATTATACTAGAAATTAAACAAAGTGATGTGGTAGACAGGGATGGCGACGTTAGATTCACTGAGGAAGTCATATTCAAGGAAATTGAAACCCTGATGACAAGAAGGAGCCAGCTATATGAAAATCTTGGAGAAGAGTGTTCCAGGCAAAGGAACACGTTATGCTAATGTAAAAGATCTGTGGCTGGAACTAATTTAGTCTGTTTTAAGAATAGGAAAAAAGGCCATTGTGGCTGAAGCATAATAAATAAAGGGAAGAGTGGCTGGAGAGGCTGGAGAGAATGGCAGGGGCCAGATCATATAGAGGTTTTGGTCTTACTAAGAGGTTTAGATTTAACTCTTCCAGATCCTTACAGAGAGCTGTGATTTGGACATTTTGTCTTCTTCCTGATCTTCCGGGGAATATATCTAATGTTTCTTCCTTAAATATTTTCTGTACGTTTTTGGTAGATAGCTTTTATTAAGTTAAAGAAGTATCCTTCTAGTCATTTTTCCCCTAATCATAAATAGGTGTTGAATTTTATTAAATAATTGTAATGCTTCTATTGAAATGACTGGTTTTTCTCCTTTACTTCACTACTTGAAGAATAACAGTAATAGTTTTCCTGATGTTTATTATTTTCCTCTTGGGATAAACTCAACTTAGTCGTGATATGTTATTTTTTAATACACTGTTGGATTTTGCTTATTTAATTCATAAGAGAAATTAGCTTATGATTTACTATCTTTATTTTGTTGAAGGTCAAGATTCTTACTAATGTGCAGTAGCATCTCTTTTCTGTTTTCTGGAAAAACTAAGACAGAGATTATATGTTCCTTGAAAGTTTGCCCTGTGGGCCTTGGGGCTTTATGAAAGAGAACTTTTATTACCTTTTCAATTTTTAATGATTCTTTCACATTTTCTTTTTTTTCCTTGTATTATGGCATTTTCTGTATTTTCAGAGATTTATCCATTTTGTCTAGGTTTTCAAAATTGTGTTTTTATTCATTTAATATATGTTATATTTATAATATATAATAATGCGTATGTTATATATATATATATATATATGTATATATACACTATTTACTGGGCACTTGACTTAGATATTCTTTTAGGTGCTGAGAATACAAAACATAAAAGACAAAAATAGAGTCAGTCCTAGTGGCCTAGTGGTTAAGTTCAACACGCTCTGCTTTGGTGGCCCAGATTCGGTACCTGGGCACAGACCTACACCGATCTATTAGCAGCTATCCTGTGCTGGTGGCCGACATACTAAAAAGTAGAGGAAGATTGGCACAGATAGATGTTAGCTCAAGGTGAATCTTCCTCAGCCAAAAAAGAAATCTAAAAAAACAAAAACAAAACAAAAAGCAAAAATAAACCCCTGCCATTATTGAACTTATATTTTGCTGGAGGAGACAGGCAATAAACAATATAAATAATATAAATGAATAATGTATTGTATGCTATTTTGTGCCGAAAAGTAAAACAAAGCAGAGAAATGTAAAAATGAAAACATTGTAATTTTAGATAGGTAACAGGAGAAGGGCTACTGAAAAGATAACATTTGAGTAAGACCCAAACAAAGTGGACCATGCAGAAATCTGGAACGAAGGATGCTCCAGGCAGAGGGAAGAGCAAATACCCCGAGACAGGAGTGTGCCTGATTTTCAAAGAATGGTGAGGAGGCTGGTGTAGTTGAGGGAGTAAGGGGAGGAGGAGGAGGAGAAGAGGAAAGCAAGTACAAGGGGACCACATGACATGGGTCCGTGTAAGTCATTGTGAGAGCATTGGTTTTCACTCAGAAGCCATTGGAGGATGTTGAACAATTTGAAGCGTAATTGATGCTGGCTTCGGTTAGGCTCATAGCAGTAGAGATGGTGACTAGTGTTGGATTCTACTTAGTTGTATTATTTTGTATATTTACATATTGATACATTCAAATAATATTTATAGTATTCCCTGGTGTAGTTTTTAAAATCTGTTTTTTGTAGTTCTCCTTTTTCATTTTTTCTGTTTAATTTCCTATTTTATTATTTTTTTTTACCTCCATCAGAGTTTGTCTTGCCAGTGGTTCCAACCTAAGGCTGTGGAGACATATGGGGCCATCAGGAAAACATACAGACATTCTTCCCTTTTTTGCTGTCACATGATTCGGGAAAGGGCATATGTTGGCTTTAGTTCTCTGGGGCGTGGGGATGCAGAGGTCCTGTAGTTTCTGACTGTTGTACACAGTGAAGAATTATCCTGTTCAAAACAGGCTCCCAGGAAGAAATATTGACTATTCTAGCTCATTAGTCTTCTCAAAGAACTAGGTTTTTGATATTCTAAATTCTGTCACTTTCTAAATCTCTGGATCATTGATTTCCGTCCTTCATTTCCTTCCTTATTTCTTTGACATTACTTTGTTATTCCTCTTCTAGTTTCTTAGCTCATTTGTGTTTATACTTGTTCCCTGATCAATGAATTTGAAAATGTAAATTTCCCTCCAGGCACTCTTTCAGCCGTGTCCTACAAATTTTGATAAGTGTTCATTCATATTTCCGAAATACCTTTGATGGTACCTGGCACATAATGAGTATTCGATAGGTTTTGTTAATTAATTCAAATATCCCCCACCCCTTTTTCAAACTAGAGGGTAGAATCCATGTTTACTGATGTGTTACATAATAATTTAAGGGGGAAGGGACGCTTATACCTGATTAGGATGTTAATATCTGCCCTTTATATTTCAGGTGCAGCAGTTGCAAGGAGTTTACAGTTTACAAGAACAGCACTTCTGGACCTTATGTTCTGACGTTTATGTTGGGACCTTGAAATTAGTAGTAGCCCCTGATGCTGATGCTAGGTGGATTTTAAGCCAAACGCATAATATTTTTACTCAGGTATGACTTTTTTACTAACTTCTTAAGGATCTTAGAATTTATTGTATTTACTAGTTTAAAAAATATTTACTATTTAGCATATTAAGTATGTATATATTTATGTGTGTATACATATGTACATATATATGTATGCGCACACACACACAAACACAATATGAGGTAAGTATTACCTTTTTTCAACCACAGAGTCAAAGTTAAGAATCTTTATTTTAGATAATACTCTTAAGAAAGATAGTCCTAGTTACTCATCATCATACTGATTTTAGTTTCTTTAAGAAAAAGTCAATTTTCTTTTCCTGTATACTCTTTATAAGACATGTTAGATCCCACAACTAGAAAGACGTGCAGCTAAGATATACAACAGTGTACAGGGGGGTTTGGGGAGATAAAAAAGCAGCAAAAAAAAAAAAAAAGACATGTTAGATGCTGTTTGAAGCCAAGAATTCTAAAATAGCACATGGAATGAGAATAATGCCTTTTCAGTAGCTGTAGTTAAAAATAGTCTATGTTGATGTTTTTTGTCTGATAGCAAAGCCATAGTTACTTCTGTGTGATTTAATAGCTTAATATGCTGTTGAATTTCTCTTAATACTGTATTTGGAATCATGAATTAGTGCATGCCCACAACCAAATTATTTCAGTTAAGGCTTATGCCATCATGAGTTGACATAGTTGTGTGATTGATAATCAAAGTAAGAGCGATTACTATGTCATTCTGTATTTATTGAGAGAATAAGAACATCATGTCAGGAACATCTAAGGAGAGAGAGAGAACACAAATTCTTTTTTTGGTCTAGTTTGCTGGAAATATTTGGCGAAAAATCTAGATGTCAGCACTGCCGCCAAAATTACCTCATAGCTAGATCTAGTGAGGAAACCGAGTCCGTGCCTTAAAAATGTGTGCTTAAAAACTGACATGTGCCTGCTGGTGTGATGCAATGGGAAGTACACAACATGACCTCTGTGGTACTGTTGCCAGAAATGGTTAACATGAATCTAACCATTAGGAAACAACCAGATAAACTCAGCTTGTGGAAACTTCCAAAAGACTGTTAGCCTGGATTCTTAAAAAAGTGTCAATATCATGAAAGAAAAACGAAACAAAACAGTGAGGGATTATTCTAGATTAGAGGAGACTTCACAATTAAATGCAATATCTGATTCTTGATTAGATCTTGGATTGGGGAAAAACAGCCACAAAGGAATTTATTGGGTAATCAGGAAATTTGAATATGGACTGCATAATAGTTTATATAGTTGTGTAAATGTTAAATTTCTTGGATATGATAATGGTATTGTGGTTATAGAAGAATGTTCTTATTCTTAGGAGATGCATGCTGAAGGATTTAGTGGCAAAATATCAGAATGTCTAATTATGTTTCAAATGTTTAAGCAAAAGTAAAAAGATTACCAATAAATACACATGTAGAAAAATAAAGCAAATGAGACAAAATGTTAGCAATTGGTGAATATAGGTGAGGGGTGATAGATATTTATTGTCCAATTCCTTTGACTCTTAAATGTTTTCAAAATAAAAAGTTAAAAAATAAAAACTTTGGTAGCTTCTCATTGCCACCAGGATAGAACCCAAACTTTCTAGCATGGCTATTTACCTTTTCAAGTCTGTCTCTTGCTGTTCGTTGCCATGTACTTTATACTCCAACCCCATCAGACTATTTACTTTTCTGCATAGGACAAAAATCCTACTCTAATGTAAAGGTCGAATTAATTGTTACTTTCACTCTGAAGCTTTCAAGACTCGTCTTAGCAGCATTACTTTATCCTGTGATAAACGTATGACGTAAGTTTTGTATGCAAGTTCCTACCGAATGTCATGATTTTGCATTCCCAATGCTTCGAGTATACATGTATAATAAATTGTTTGAATAAACAAATTTTTAAAACTGTATTTGACCAAAACCATCTTTACATATGCTAAGTTTGGAAAGATGTTTTTGGGTTCCCATTGGTCTTTAACCACAAGCACAAAAAGATGGTAATGATATATAGAGAGACAGACAGACAGATAGATAGACAGACATCACATCTTCAGACATGGACAATAGAACATAATATATAGTTTAGTTAAATTTAGGACCTTAGCATAAATTAAACAATCTCTCTTCCCTAATAAAGAGAAATGTATGGTTATATTCCTTTGGGAATAATTAATGAAATAATCTTACATGTAGGGACAGCAAGACTTACCTCTACTACAAAACAATATGCTGGAACCACTTATTTACTCCAGAATTTTAAGAACTAGGTCCGTTTTTTAACAAACACTGTAATAAGTCTGCATCGTTATGAAGGATGCAACAGCTTCCCAGTATGTCTGAGTCCTTCTCACATCTCCTCCCTGTTTCAGAGGCAAAAGGACAGTGTGGCTGGCAATAACCTTGCTTTTCACTGCCGTTTATAGATTACTAGTCTCTTCTTTAACCTTAATTTTCTCATAGTTATACCAGTGTCCTTCCACCCTTCTAGTGTGAGCTTCTGTTGACCTCTCCTAAGGCTTTGGCACTTAATCACAGTTTTCACTCTGAAAAGGAAGGCAATTTCTAGGTTTAAAAATGCGCAAGCAGCTATGTCTGTGCTGAGGAACTGTTGAAGTTGTAATTGAAGTAGACGGAGGGAAGTTCTTCTGGTAACCTTAGAAATCTTGGCTTTTAAAATGGCTGATGTTGAAAGTTTGTTCAGCTGCTTCTTTGGTTTTGGAAACTGTATTTGGGTTTTAAAAATTTTAAGCTCTGAAAGATATTTTAAGCCTTTCTATCAGCTGAGGTCAAGCCAACTTTATTTCATTCCTTGCAGAGACCAGGGACTCTGAGGCTTGCAGTGGAGATGGTTCAGCACGTTTTTCTCAGGAGGGAGAGGGGAGTCACTCTACTAATGACTTTGCTTCCATACATTTAGTGATTTTAAAGTTGTTTTGTGGTCGTTGTTTCAGTTCTGACATTTGCAAAATTGAAACGGTTTATTAGTATGTTTTCCTTTTCTACTTATACCCTAGTATTGCATATTCATATTCTATGAGTATATCCCAGGACTTGCAGTAACATACATACATGTTTTGTTGGGGAGGAAAAATTTTTCTCTACTCTTCTAGATCCTTTGGCTGGGCTGTTAATTCAGTTGACATAAGACAGATTAACAGGAGAAAAACAAATTTAATTCCCTACATACAGGAACCCCATAAAAATATGAGACCCAAAGGCAAGTCAGGCAATTGAAGCTTATATGCCATCCTGAGCTAAGGAATGGGCGAGGGCCTGGGGCTTCAAAGGGGAGGAGGGTAATTCACAGGACAGTAAGAAGAGCAGATGTTTGGTAATTAGATGTTTGCCTGGCCGTGCAGTCCCTGGTAATAGCTCTCTCTCTGAGCCAGGACTCCTGTCTAAATTCTTTTAGGTAGTTAAGGAAGAGGTAAAAGTTTTTTTTGAGACTGCTGGGTCTTGATTGCCTTCAGCTCAAAACAATCCACATGCCAAAATGGCATATTTTGGGGTCACATATTCTGCTGCCCCTCAATTTCATGAAATGAAATTTAAAATTTTTTCTTTTAAATTACACCTTATTCATAGATTTTACTTATCAAAAGTAAAAGTAACTCAAATTGCTCCATTTTTGAGAAAAAAAATCACACTAATGCTTGAGGTATATTTCTTATAGAAAGACTTGAAATACTAGTGGCCTTAGATCCAAAAGATCAAAAGAAGGATTTTCTCAGTAATAAGTTTTCATTTTTGGTTTTATGACATATTTAGGTGTCTTTCTTATTGCTGATCTTACAACAGAATTTAAATAATAGTGTTGGTTAAAATATTGTTGTTAAAACTTATGTGCTGATAACTTGAAACTGAAAAGTCAAACATCAGAAGTTTGAGAATTATAGCTTTCTATTTTGTTTATAAAACTATAAGTTTTATGACTATTTTAGAACTGTATATTAGGCATGTCCTTTTTATTCTCATTTTCCATAGTTATTAATTAATCTTTAATGGCTAAAGCAGTTGGCTTGCTTCGCACAAATATGGAGTAATACAACTGAATTGGTAGAAGTCTCTTCAGTACTTAAACTCCTTTCAGATTATTACTTAAATGATAATCCAGTTTTTAAACTACAAGGTTTTCTGTTGGCATAGAAAAAGTCCCCTCTCCGTTTCTTCCCTTGCACTAGCTTTTTAAAAATGAGTTATCATTTGGGAATTGATGAAATAGAAAACTTACTTTTTGTGTTACGTATATGAACAGGAAGAGAACGTAGGATACTGGGTTAGGAAGGCAATTTAACACTTTATGTTTCTTGTTTTAAACTGGCTGATTATCATCTGTTAATTTTTGTAATACATTTTGTTTTGTTAGAAATAATGTTTGAAGAAAAGTCTAGAATATGTTTGGGTTTCATTACCCTCCTCAGTTCCACAAAGCACAAAAGACAGTCAAGCCTAATGCATGCTATTTACTCCCTGATAGAATGTCTACCTTGATTTCTTCCATCTTTTTTACTTTTCTGCCTGTTTCTGTGATGCCTATTAAGTCCTAAACTCCCAGCTTCCTGCTTTAGCTTTTTTTGTGTATTCTCTAGCCTCAAAGTAGAAGTTAACACTGATACCCAGAAGGAACCAAAAATTCTCACAAGCCCAAATGGGAGTTCCCCAAGTTTTAGAAACTTCTACCTCCTCTACTCTTCCACTTTCAGAATCCCTTCCTGTCTCTGAACACAGACCTCACCCAACGCTCCTATGTCTACTGGAGAGTGAGAGTGGGGCGTGGGAGAAGCTATCTACCCCTTTCCAGGTGGCTATTTTCCTACCCCTTCCATGTTTTTCCTGTTTATAGAGGGTTTTAATCTTTTATAAATACTGATTTTGCTTGCCAGCTCTGCAACTTTTCTTTATCGATTTTCCCATTTTCTTCCTTCATCATATGTACTTGAAGTCCACCAGAAGCCAGCCTCCTGAGTTGGTTGGAGTAAACAGCCATAGGATATGAGGCCAACACATCCCTAGATTTGTTGTTTTTATTTATTTATTTTAAAGATTTTACTTTTTCTTTTTTCTCCCCAAAGCCCCCTGGTGCATAGTTGTATATTTTTAGCTTTGGGTCCTTCTAGTTGGTGGCATGTGGGATGCCGCCTCTGCGGAGCCTGATGAGCAGTGCCGTGTCTACGCCCAGGATCCTAACCGGCGAAGCCCTGGGCCGCCGAAGCAGAGTGTGCGAACTTAACCACTTGGCCACGGGGCTGGCCCCCTGATTTGTTGTTTTCAGTTAATCCACCAGGTTTAAGTGTTCATTGATTGGTTGATAGTGGTGGGAATAACAGCAGCAGCAGCTAGCCTTTATTGAGACCCCAGCATATTCATCTGTCCTCACGAGACAGGTGGTATTATTGCCAATTTATAGAAAAAGGAATCCAGACCCAGGTTATTGTCCTTGACTTGTAATTTTGTCATATTCACTATTTCACTGATTCTGAGATGACTTAGTTTTCACATGTAAGAGTAAAGCAGTTTTTCGAGACTTCATTTTAAAGGGATAAAGATTAATATTATATGTTCAGTCAAAAACTAAAGTGGAAAGTTTCTCTAGTTTTTGAGAATTGGTTGAGAATACAAACAAACCAGTAATTTTCTATAGCCATATTCCTGTTTATTTTTCTAAATTTTTTACTTCTGATTTGTTTTCCTTTCCACAACAGTGAATATTTATTGAAGATATTCTAAGTCTATGGCACCAGGTTAACATTTATTTTCTAAGGAGCACATGTGTAAAAATAGCTAGCTGTCTTTTCAATTTAAAAAAGGGTTCACTGACTTATGGTTTATATATTATTCTCAGGATATGACGCAATGAGTATTATATGGTTTTTGCTTTTTAAGGACAACACTTAGCCAGCCTCTGACTCTTATTGTCATCCCAGTGGTAGAATATTTGATGGAGCCGAGCCCTGTTTTGATCTGCTGGAGTACTGGTCATGTCTTTGTGGCGTGAATAAACTTTATAGAAAACCTGGCTTGCATTCAGGGACTAGGTGACTGACGACAGGATTCTCTGGAAATTCTGCCTACCTCTCCACTTTGAAGGAAATTCAGAAAGGAAAATAGGAAGCTGGAAATCTGGAAGCTGACCTCACCAGGACAGATGGACGAAGCCAAATGACTTTTTCTGTTAGACTGCGCTTTTGTGGGAAGCTGTAGCCCCTCAGGGAAAGATATCAGCTTGCGTAATTAACTCATGACTATGCAAAGATCAATTGACCTAGCCTCTTTGTTTTTCCTCTTTCTTTTTTATTGCCTTGGGCTACCTCATTTCTTATTACCATCTTCACTGTATTAGGGCTGGGGTTAGGAAAGTGGCAGAGATAATAGGAGCCCAACTTATTTTTGCCCATTTTACTTTCATTAACAATTTTGCTAAAAGAGAAAAGAAATTAAGCCAGTTTATTTGGGCAATTGTTGTTTTCTCTTCAGGTTAGATATACAAGAATTTTGCAGAAGAGTTCCTAAGTATAGTTATTTCAGGAGCCATCTGGGTTGAATAAATCATATATAATTGTAATAAATCATAATAATTTGTTTTAGTAGCCTTTTATAGCATGAAATCCTTTCCATATGTTCACACATGATTCTTACAAGAGTGCCTGGTATGTAGCAAGGATTAATTAAATATTTGTCAAATATTGGATGGATATATAACAATCCTGTGAGATGAGTAGGGTTGATATTTATCAACACTTTTAAAATGAGAAAAAGTGAGATTTGGTTTTAATTTTTAGCTAAAGTCATACTGATATTAAATTCTTTTCTGCCACAAACCTCTTTAAGGAGAAAGCGCTATGAAATGTGTTTTTGGAGAGCTTTAACTTTACCACAGCAAGGATTTTTTTGTTAAAGAAGCAAAAAAGCTGAAATGTTTTCTGTGCTGGGAAGCTTCTGGTATCTCTCCCGCTTTGTGTTGCTTTCGAGTAGCTCCCAGCTCCTTTCACGCATCCTTTAGGTTTGTGCAGAGCCCTCCTGCTTGAATACTAGGAAACAAGTCGTGCTAGAAAGTAATGCTGTGAGGAGCCCAGCAATTACTGTAAGAAGTTAGTGTTAATATTTTATCCCCTACTCTGGTTTTTCCTTTCTCTTAAATATTCTAATTTACCTTTCATTCTGTGGTACTGACAAGAAAGTGCTGATTGTAACTCATTGTATGCTTTAATTTTAAAAATCATTTTTATTTGAAAGAAGGAAAATAGAATTTCAGTTCATCCAACAAATACGTATTGATCACTTACTGTGTGCTGGGCACTGCTTGAGGTTCTGGGAGTCAGCAGTGAAAAAATGGACAAAATCTTTTATCTTAGAGACATTGCATTATAATAAACAATAAACACAGCAACACAGCAAATAAGAAAGTTTTATGTCAAAGGCGATAGGGGTTACGGTAGGGAGAGCAGGGTGGGGAGATTGGTGTGCTGAGGCATTTGCCATCTCTCGTACCAAGCTTTGTTGTTTTCCGGAGCTCGTCTGTGTATCGTCATCTGACACACTGTATTTAGTTGCTTGTTTATCATCTCTCCTCCTCCCTAGCTCGCCACTGCAGATAAGCTCCGTGAGGGCAAGGATATGTTTTACCTACTTTGTTCACTGGTGTATTCCCAGGGGATAGAACAGTGCCTGGATATTTGCTAGGTGAATGAATTGAATGCATTTTATATAGTGTGGTCAGGGCAGGCCTCACTGACATCTGAGTAGAAATGTGACAAGAGAGGGAGTATGTCATGTGGCTGTCTCCAGGGACATTGTTCCAGGCAGAAGTGCCACTGTGTTTGGAGCAGAGTGAGCAAAGGGAGAGGAGTAATCAGGGGTTAGGTCATGGGAGGGCTTTGTGGGCCAGTGTAAGGACTAAGGAAGGTAACTTTGTGGGGTTTCAGTGATGGAGTGACATCACTGTAGTTAGTTGCTCTGCTGGAAATAGACCAAAGGAGGGTAAAGGTAGAAGCGTGAAAACTAGGTCAGCAGCCACTGTAAAATCTAGACAGATGATAGTGGCTCGGGCCAGGGTGGTAGCGATGGAGGTGATGTAACGGGGTCAGATTCTGGGTTTGCGTTATTTTGAAGGTAAGGCAAACAAGTTTTGCTAATGAGTTGGATGTGAGAGAAAGAAAGGTCTTCAAGGTGGAATGTTAGGATGGAATTGAGCTGTAGAAGATACAGAATCAACAGGCTCGAGGGGAGGAATAGTGTTCGATTTGGCTGTGTTGTGATGCCTGTCAGACATCCAAGTAGAAGTGTCAAGTAGATGGTAGGTTCCAGCCTGGAAATACAAATGTGGGAGGTGTGAGCATTTCGATGGTACTGAACGTCTGGTTGCTAGATGAGATCATCTAGGGAACAACTGTGGAAAAAGAAGGGCTCCGAGGACTGAGCCTTTGGGGATTTCACTGTGTTTAGCGTTCAAAGATAGGAGGAAGAACCAGCAAAGGATATTGAGAAAGATTGATAAGCGAGGTCAAAGGGCCACCAGTGAGTATTCTTTGGAAGCCAAGAGGAAGTGATCACCTGTGTCCTTGCTGATAGATGACGTGCTACGATGAGGACTGAGAATTGAGCCTGGCCTGAGCAACTTAGAAGTGACCTTGACAGACAGCTTTGCAAAGTGGTAGGCAGCAAATGTTTGGTTGAAATGGATTCAAGAGAGAAAAGGGATTGTAGACAGCAAATAGAGAAAAATTGATAATACAGGAGAGATGGGGGCAGTTTTGAGAGCAGTGTCCTTGAGTAGCAAGTTCATATCCAAAATTGAAGAGAGGAGTTGGAGTGTAAAGTAATTAAACAACCAATAGGTGGTTTACTTATTTACAATCATTTATCACAGGAAGATGTAGGTTGGGTTGATGTATGATTTTAACTAGTCAGGCACTGTGGTGTTCTCTAGCGGAAGAATGGTAGATGGGTAACCTCATTTTTCCAGAATTCACTTGGACGGAGCATGTAATTAGTAGTCTGGCTTTCTTTTGAAGAGATAAAGGAGAATCTTTTTTGCAGCTTACAAATGTAGTTGTTTCTAAAATAAAATTACTGGCACTTGATGATGAAAAATGGAGAAGTATGTCCCAGAGCAGAAGAGAAAAATAATTCATTCTTTCGTAGAAAAAAAAATGAGATTTTTTTCTACTACTTTTCTGAAATGTATAGTCTATTGTTGGCTTGTTTGATTTTCTAATTTTTTTTTTTTAAACTTTTCAGGCCGGAGTGAGACAGCTTTATGTACAGATTGACTTTGCGGCCATATAATGAATGAAAAGAAACTATACTTTCTTGGGGACGTAATTTTTCTGGTACTGTACAATCCCAAACATTGTACCTAGCTTCTTAAAAGAGAGAAATCATCACTATAGCTCCCAGGCGCCAGGCAGTCAGCCGTTTGTGCTGTGCCAGGAGTTCCCAGCGAAGGGATCGCAATTAAGAGGCTCTCTCCTGGACTTTCGGTCTTGTCTTTTGTGCTCTTCCCTCCGAACCATTTTGATTTCTGAGGCGTCTAGTTTTGTTCCAGGGCGGTGTTTTTTGTTGGTTTGTTTGTCTCATTTCCAGCGTCCTCACTCCCACCCGTCACCCTAGGTAAGAAGTTCAGACTGCGGGCCTCCAGTCATCTGGAATGTCTTCACTGAAGCTGCTGGAAACCACTCTTGCATTCCCACAAAACCAGTGTTATTTAAAAAAAACAGAAATGGAAATCTCTTTTATGTGTAATGTCACAATTGTTGACGTTCTTCAGTATAATCATATGTTTGTAAAATTGTTTGTACCTTGCAAACTTATGAACCAAACCATATTGGGTTTTCAAAGTGCCTTTGTATCAGAAAATGTATTTGCCAGCATAGAAACATACCATCAGAGGTCATGTATGGTTTTTTTTAATGGGTATTCTGTAATCTGTACAAAATAAGACTCTTGTTAGTAATGTATGCAGATTTTGTCTTTTTGTGTACTTCCAGCACAGGTCTAGGGATATGAAAATTTTCCTTTTATTGCTTTATCTCATCAAAAAATAAAAGGTGTTATTTTGCTTTTTAAATCAAATTCAGTTATCACATTAAATTATTTTGTAGATTTTGTTTTCAAAACTTTGCAAATGTATCTCTTACATAGACGATTGTTTTGACTTACTTGAAACATCTGCTAAATTCCAAATTTCTATAAAAGCTACTGTGTTGTCTATGATAAACTTTCCTGTATCTTCCTTGCCATTTATATGAATTTTATTAATGAAAGAAAAAAGCAACATAGAATGAAGGCAGAATGGTTGTGACAATATTATTTTGCATTTTCGTTCTTCAAATGCCACCTCATGTAATTTGTTCTGTGCGAGTGTTGCGTAAATATAGTTCCTTTCAGGAATCCTAAAGCAGCATTTTCACGAGCTTGAACTATTGAAGGTACAGAGCAAATGTGGTAATAGAGAAGTCTTCCTAACAGGTGTCTTAGAAGTTCATCAGTGAGTTGATTTCTAGGGTCTTGTGTATTTGAAAAATAAAATTGCAATTTGAGATGACAAGTGTTTAAACACTCAAATATTCTTTGTGTTTTATGAAGAAATATTGATCTGGATAGGCATTTTCCCACTGTGCTTTATTTTATCACAGTGTATATTCCCTTTTAACTTTAAAAAATTGAAATTGTTGGGGAAAAAACCCCGCAGGATGGAAATGATTGTTTCAGATGTAGATCAAAAATCAGCCTCTTTTCACTGATGTGGCAGAAATCGCTGTTGATTTTGTCTAAGTTTTAGAATGTCTTTTTCCTATTTCTGACCTACAATTAATGAACTGTACTACATTAGGAAAACTAGACTTTCTTCACACTTTTCTAAACTGCTGCAGAGTGCCACGAACTGTTGATAGTTTCTGTTTTGCAGCTAAGTAGTATTTCCAGAACATTTTTTCTCACTGCCAGGCAGTTCTTAAGCTCAGAATTCCTGCAGTAGAATGTGTTCAACTGCAACAATTGTTGAGATGTTTTAGGAGGGAAAGTGTAAAAGGCAATGTCCTGATAAGGGTACTGCTCTTTCAGGAGAAGTCTAAGTAGTCTTTTGGAAGTTTGCATCGACTACCAAGGCTGATGGAAGCCTAGGATATTCTGTGAGTTTTGGCATGTTATGGAAAATAACAGATCTAGATGAAGGCAGGAATTTTCGAGTGTGCCTTTGAAAGCTAACTATGTGTAATTGTACTTATATTTCACATACGGAGATAATATTTGCACTGGCTTGTAAAATTTACCAGTGTGTTTTAAAGACCCAATTTTGCCTTTCACTGAGCCCTCCATTCCAGGTGAAGTTTTTGTCAAAATATGCTCACTTTATTTAACTGTATTCTCAATGCACTGATGCATGAGTATGTTTTTTCTTTGCTGGGGCAGGATATATGGACTATTAGACTGATAGGAAACTACTTCTGCACCTGTTGGAAGAGACTGCCTGGTCATATCATTTAGCAGGTTGGCATTAACATTTATGGTTTAATTAAATGTCCTTAAACCTGTGTGTGCAGCAGTAAAAATTTAGTGTGAGAAAGCACCTTTTGCCCACTCTTAGGAAATACTTTGTCTTGTCAGTGTTCTTGCCACTGATGTATTGCCAAAGTAGATAATTTCACTGAGAAATACTACCTGGTTATTGTTATAAAATAAATTTAGGATGTCCCTCTTGTTGGGCTGACTCTCTGGGGTAAAAAGAATCTCTAAGTATCTGAGTATAACTTTGCTAATATTTTAAAAACCAAAATATTCTTTAGAGAACAAATTTGTATTGCTCATGGAAAGTTTATCTTACCAAGTAAACTCCTCCAAACAGAAATATACCTATACTAGTTTTGTGTTTTTAAATCTAGATTGTATGAATCAAGGTGAAGGGCTTAACCTATGTACCGCTTCCTTATTTTGCTGACTCCCTGCACCTTGGTGAAGGACAGTATCTAGTTTTTCTGTGGCTCAGTGTTTGTCACGCTGTCATCGCCTTGCCTCTTCTGCAGAGGCATAAGAAAGTGGTAACAGATGTTATTGGCATTGTGCTTTCCCGTGTGTCTGGAATGCTTCAGCATTTTTCAAAGCCTCCACAGATACACCAGGAACCAAAATCCTGTGACTTTTGTGCACCTTTGCCAAGCAGCCAAATCACTGACTCCAAATGCAGTTGGTCAGAGTTCTATAATGTTTTTATCTACTATGGAATAATCAGTTCTATAGAGAGTATTAATATGGCAGCATCCTCTTATAGGATGCTGGGACTTAAGAACAAAAATACTGCATTGCTTCACATGCAGTTTTACATCTGAGGGGACGGTCCTGAGAGGCGGTCTAGCTCTACCTCTCATTTTACAGATGAGAAAATTGAAACCCAGAAAAGCTGCCATTTATTCAAAGTCACACAGATAATTAGTGGCAAAGCCATGACTAGAGTCCAGGTCTTCTGACTCCAAGTCGAGAGTTCTTTCTATTCTACTGTGCTGCCTCTCAAGTGTAAGATTTGCCTTTCTGTAAATGTGACAAAAAAGCATTTGTAAATAAAGGACATCTGACCTCCATTTTTGGTACATTAAGGCACTTTATAAATGGAGTTTTATTGTCTTATTTTTCATATCTAATTATGAGGTTTAGAGTATTATTTCCATAGTATTCTTTATGGAAGATATAATTAATTTTTTTACTCTTTTTTACTTTTTTACTCTTGTGAAACCAGTTCCTGATTTTAAAAAAAATGATGACATCTGTGCATTGGATACTTTTGTGAGTGAATTCTGTTAACTGCCAAGGCTAAATCCAGTTGAAGGATTGCTTAGTTTCTTTATTTTGTTTATATTCTGTGAACTGGTACTTTTTAGAAACCAGGCTAATTAGTAGGTCACACTATTTCAGTCTTGCTACTTTAGTTTTCAGCCACTGGAGAGCTTTTGAATTTTTAAGATTATTCTCAGAGCCACGCAAAATTGGGCATTAAATGTTATATAGAACAAAACATATCTTTTAATTCAATAGGGTAAAATTTAGTCTTATCAGAATCCCAAATGCTAACCTGCTATTTTCAACTCTTCATAAAAGCATCACCTTAAGAAAGTTAAACCTTTGTTTTTTCTTTCTGTGACCATCTTTGAAACAAATTATTTTCCAATTCACAAGAACTTTGGCCAAAAAGGAAATTATTTTATTCTTTTTTGCTGAGGAAGACTGGCCTGAGCTAACTTCTATGCCCATCTTCCTCTACTTTTTATGTGGGACGCCTACCACAGCATGGCTTGCCAAGTGGTGCCATGTCCTCGCCCAGGATCCAAACCGGCAAACCCCGGGCTGCCGAAGCAGAACGTGGGAATTTAACCGCTGTGCCACTGGGCCGGCCCCAATTCTTTGAAGAACATTCATTAAAAGTTTTATTAATGGAAGAAGATTGTTTCAAGACATGATTCCCCTAGAAAATTAATGATCCAGATCTACCATACCATCAAGATAGACTAAAATATAATGAAAAATTATGTAGCAGAAAAGTATTAGCAGAGAAACACGGTTGTTTTTAAAGGCCAAATTGATGTGAGTCTTTTTGATGAGGGCATCTTTGGTTTATGTTTGACCATTTCCTAACTACAAATTATACAGAAAAAAAGAACGGGGTTTAACCTTTAGTTAGTATTTATGTGTTAAGCTCTTTGTGTGGCCTTTTTCATGCTATCATATTTTAAATCCTCACATTTATATAAAGAAAGAATTTTGCATGATTTTATGATTGACAGAGAATTTTCAAGTGTATTTTCTCTTCTGATTCTCCTAACATCTTTGCAAGGAAGGAATTCTTAACCCCATATTACAGATGAGGAAGCTGTTGCAGAGAATTTAAATGACTTGCCTAGAGGAGAGCCAGTGGGAGAGAACTGACTCTAAAGTCAGTGTTTTTTCTGATGACTCTTGTTTTATGTATGTCATTCTACAATGGTTTAAAGATCCAAGAAGTTGTAGCAGATCTAAACAGACTCTCCTGTAAGATCAGTGAACACCCATCATGACAAAATTGATAGAGGGGAACAGTTATATTTATACTATTTAGACTCATTCCTTCTTTCAGTGTCCTCTCATGTTTATTTCCTGCCTTTGCCACTGAACTTAAACTGTGCAGGCTAAAAAGAGCAATCAGAACTCTCAAGCACTTTTAAGACCCTTTTAAAAAAAAAAAAAGTAAAAAGTTTTACTCATACAGAGTAAGCTGCTTTTTAAAAGGATTGGCTCAAAAGATAGAGTTAGTGTCCGTGTGAGTAAAGAGAAACTGAACTCCTGGCCAAGAGACATTAACTTAGTTATTAGGGAATGGTCTTCCAAGTACAAATAATTTTGGGCTGAATGAGAGGGATACATGGCATTGGACTTACAACATTACATTTTACAGACATCTTTTCAAAAGGCAGAAATCTATTTCATGATTAGTAATCTATGCTTAAATTGAATAATATTTAACTTTGAACTCTCCCCACAGCTTTGAAAATGTAGTATTTGTAATTTTGATCATGATGTTGGAAAGTCTGTAAAAAAGAAGAATGTCTTTGTTCTATCCATCCTATTATTCCCAAACTTAGCATGAATTTACACTTACATGCTCAGTAAATGTTTGGTTAACTAAAGAGTAAATATTATAATAGTAGTAGATAACAAAAGTAAGGGTCGGAACATGTAAAACTAGTAATTTACTGTTTATTACAGAAGACATCTCAGCTTCTCTTTGGCATTTTTGCACAAATAAGTGACTGTATTCACTTTGGCCGTTGTTTTTCAAGTAGCCCTGTGAGCTGCTCAGTCATTTGAATACAGGCACGATGAAAGTGTAGCGATGTTATCCAGTCTGCGTGCTGCTCCACAGCAACTGGGCAGAACTAGGACTGTGGAACCTGGGTCACTTGAATTTTTATATTTTGTTAAACCACATTGTCTCCTTTGTTTTTATGAAAAATTGCCATATTCATATTACGTTAAGGACCTGTGTATAACATATCTTATATTTCATTTATCCCCAGATGTCTTATCATCCAAAATTCTTTCAGAGGAGTATCTTGAAGGTGCTTCTATAAAAACAACACAACTTGTATTCATCAAGCGATTTAAGTATTCCTGGGATACTTTTTCTCTTTTTCCCTTCTAAATACTGAATTTTATTAGAGCTCCTATATATTTCTTCACATATTTTTCATCTCTTTTCATTGTTGTTGCCACTGTTAAAACTTCTCCTTTTCACTAGTGAAAAAAAAGCTTTATTTTCAATTTTAGTATTTGAATTTTGTTTATGTATCACATAACGTGAATCAGTTAGGTTCAGTGAAGATTCTAATTTGAACTCAATGTATCCTGTCAAGAGTTTGCCAGATAATCCCATTGCTTCCTCTGATAGCAGCAGATTCAGTGATATTTCTGCCCAAGTCATAGTTTGCCTCAACGTTTGTGAGTTTGGTCAATAGACAGAATGAGTCTTTTGTATCGGAAATACTGTGAATGAAAAATTGCCAAATCCCTTCTTATTTTATT